CCGCGGGTTAAAGCGATCTTCCAGAATGCGATTTCCATGGAGGGGGAAAAGGGGAAAACCGACAAAGAGGAAAACTGCAGAAAAAACATGATTGGGCTACTTCTGTTTGACAGACCTGGCAACCCTGATGACAGTGAAAGGTGGCGAGAGAGGACCAGGCCTGGGACTTTACATTTATTCGTCAGTTTGTTATTTATGTTTATTTTGTTACTGAAGTTACATTACGCTATGCTAGGGTATGCTAAGGTATTTATAGATGGTTGCTAGATATTTGCTAGATTGTTCTGGATGGTTACTAGGGCTATAGTTGTTTTCTAGGTTGTTCTAGATGGTTTCGTGTTAGCGTGTTGTACACATGATATGTATAGGTAGATTCCACATTTAACCACTCCAGACACGTTGACACATATGCCATCTTGGAAAGGTCAATGTGTTGTCACTTACAATAAAAATCAATGAGTTTACCAATATGCCACAACATTGCACAGTCTCTGGTTGTAAAACAAAATACATTCCCAAAGAAATGGGATAAACTTTCACAGGTGAGAATGTGTTGGTTTGTGGTTTTAATATGTATTAAGTCAATATTACTGGTTTTTAAACTATGGAAACTTTTAATGTTGTGTTAGCTAACAGCTTCGTCTTGTTGTATTGCGTTAGTTTACCAAAATCATCTGCTGAAGTCTATTGCAGATATAAATCATACATGCCTATAACTATGGTTGCAGACACATAGTCAACTTGCTCTCAAGTGTTCACGGACCGACTTTGACTGTTCCAATATGGCGGACCGCTTACGTTTAGCAGCCCATAGAAAGAGCTGCTAATAAGACATCTTTGTATACTCTATCTATTCTAGATAGATGCTACTGTAGGTGTTTGCTTGGATGTTCTCGATGTTTGCTAGGGTGCTCTAAATGGTTGTTAGGTGTCTGCTATGGTAGTTGCTATGTGCTAGGGTGTTCGGGGTGGTTGCTTGTTGATTGGTAGGGTATCCTAGATGCAGGGGGCGTGTCTACGTGGTGGCCAGGGGTGGCACCGGCCCCCCCTGAAATTTGGCTGGCCACCCCAGGTGCCCCCCCTACCAGATGTCTTGCGATAGGCTTGTTTTTAGTAAATTTCTAACTGCATCTGGCAGTGGCGGATCCTGGCATGTGTAGGCAGCTGCCTAGGGCCGCTTTCTTCTCTTCTTTATACTTAATTTTAGGCGGTTTCTATAGTGTGATCTTAATGACAATGTCGAGAGCGCATAATGTTACGCGATCCATGTG